TCAAATGTTAGCTTAGTTTCTAGTTACATGTATATTTTGTACCTTTTTAGTCCTAGTGAATTCTTTCATCAGTGACAACTTTGGAAGGATAAGGATACTAACCTCCAAATTTTCGATGGCTATCAGTCCATCTTGTTCACGGAGTGGCCTAATCTCGCGAGAGTGTGAGACTAGGCCCGAGACTTGCATCGGTCTGTCGGGTCCCACCCCCCGCCGCCTCCCTCTGAAGTAGGGGTAAGTAGGTCTTGGGGAGCTCCCAACCTTCTGTCCGGTTCAGCTTGGCACCTTCCAACTGTATGTGCACCGCTTCCTTAATCTTCCTATGTGGGTTACGAGACTCTTGGTCTATGATTTCAATAATGTCAGAGATGGGCCTGGTAGTGGCACTCTCGCGAGATTAGGCCACTCCGTGAACAAGATGGACTGATAGCCATCGAAAATTTGGAGGTTAGTATCCTTATCCTTCCAAAGTTGTCACTGATGAAAGAATTCACTAGGAACTAAAAAGGTACAAAATATACATGTAACTAGAAACTAAGCTAACATTTCACTAGGAATTCACTAGGAACTGTATGTATACGTGACAAATGAATCTCTTCAACGATGTACCTTTTTAATTTTCATTTTGTCAGGGTTTGGAGGAAGCCTGAGTGTCACAAACATGCTGGTTTGCCTGGGCCGATACTTCACCACAAAGCGACTCCGCGCCAACAGTATCTCCACCCTGGGAGGAAGCCTGGGTTCTTTTGCGTTCCCACCTGTATTCCAACTTCTTATCGATGAATACGGAACTAAAGGGGCGCTCTTAATCGCCGGTGGATTCGCTCTTCATATCGTAGCGTTCGGAGCACTTATACGGCCGCTCTACCTCAAATCTGAAGCCAAAGTCGTCAAGCACACGAAAAAGCAATCTATCGCTTTCGACGACAACGCTATAGCTTTAGTAAAAGAGAAAGATGGACATGGTCATTGTAACTTGAGGGAACGATGCTTGTCTGTGATTGATCTAACCCTTTTGAAGCAGCCCTCCTTCTTAATATTTCTGATATCGGTTGGTTTTGTTGCGTCGAACAGACAAACCTCCAACATCTACCTCATCCCTCGTGCAAAGTTTCTCGGCGTAGACGACTATCCTGCCGCTTTCCTGATGTCGATTGTTGGCATCTTAGGCATCGTTGGCCGCGGTGTTTCCGGAGTTTTGCCCGAGTGGGAGAGGTTTCGAAGAATCGACCAGTACGGAACGGTCGCGGTTCTGATGGGGTGTGCGATGATGCTCGTTCCCTTGGCCATTTCGTACGGCAGTATGGTCACGTACAGCGTCTTCTTTGGACTGCTGTTTGGAGCGCTCATCCCACTAACCATAACCACAGCCGCAGATCTTGTTGAAGTTGAGAGACTCCCGACTGCCATGGGACTACGGATGTTCGTACAAGGGGTCGCTACGCTAGTGGGACCAACTGTTTCAGGTAAGGGCATGGACAGACCTAGGGAAAAATGTTATATATATGTTTACCGAAGGAAAACATATTGTTTTTACTCAGTTTCTTCCTCCTCTTCTGTTCCAAACACTAACCTCTGACCTGGCCAATGACATGATTTGTTGACATCTGTCACCATGGTGACTGGTGTTAGGTTACATAATGTTGCAATTTCATGGTCTGCTCTACTCCTGTCACCATATACTAGTAGTACATGTATGTGAATGTGTTTTGTAAAGTAAAAATTAACAGGGCAGACCACAGTCTGAGGGCAGATCATGTCTGAAGGTAAACATTATGCATTTGCTTTGCAAATGTTACTTCTCTAGTATGTTTCCTGTTTCAGTCTTGAAAAAAATTAGGGTTGGTTAGTGTGTGATTAACTTTTTTTGTTTCTTTTTTATTAGCAATCTCTAGTGATTCAAAACAGCCAGGTGTTTCAAGTAGCATCCACAACTTGTCAGTGACTAACAGAATCTAGTTGTCAAGTCTGAGTGTTGAGCTACAGATTGTGTACTAGTATCTTATTACCTGGATGTCTAACATTTACAGTTCAAAGTAGCCTTGAGATGCATGCCTCATGAAACGTAATGACCTCCAGTCTAATTTACTGACTTTATTGTTTTGACTTTGGAACGTTATGACAACTTTGATTTATGGACATGCTTTTGTTTTGATGCATCAGATTTAACGGTGCACACACCAGTTCTTCCGCGACAGGGGTCCAATGTAGTGCCCGGAAAAAAAGTGACGAAGGGGTTCCGATCATAATCTGCTGCAAAATGGTATTAACTACTAACATGGCTGGAAAGTGTAAGAAGTTGCGTGTTTTGGGTAAAAATTGATTTCGGGTCCGAGGCTTACTTCCGGGTGTCCTTCCGCCTCGAGCGCGGTGCTTCAGTTTGACCTAGATATGCCTTGTATGCGTTCTGGGGGTGCTGTCGCTATGCCTCGCGCGACGGGCTATTGTGATAATCTCAGTGTTAGGATTTTCTTTATACTTTTCTTAATAATACACAAGGGTTTTTTCTTTCCGACCATATAAGTCATATTGGTGGCTAAATTCTGGGTGATGGGTCTAATTCCACGTGAATTTTTGGTATAATTTTTCATCCAAAAATTCTTTTTCCCCCTAAAATTTACTAAAATGTGAGAGGTGAAAGAAATTGAAATTCTATTGTTCTCGTAGCTAGAACGATATCCTTCATTTGTAAACACAGTGTTTTGGCTTAAGAAGTATTTCTTGAAAGAGACGGTCGCTAGAGTTGAGGGTATGCAGAATCGAATTGAGACCCAAAATAAACTGGGGTGTGCCCCCTTAATTTGACTTGTCCACCTTTTGTTGCTTGACTACATGTCTATGTAATCATGGCTTGTCCTGTGTAAATGTATATATGCTGGGCCGCATTGGAAAGCAGAGAGCACTTCTACTAGCTGAATGGGCTACCCAGTCCTGTTATGATGAGGCCACACCAATTTAATTAGTTGTTTCTCAGATTTGCCCTGTCCATTTTTTCTGATTTGAAAAAAAAGAAGATTTTAGGTTCTGAATGAACTGCAAAATGCTCAATGAAAGACATATTTTGCCCTTTTCTTCCTAGTTCAAGTTTTCAATGTAACAATGCAACTTTGTTTTATTAAAAGTTCAAAATCTATTGTTTCAATTATAAACCAGCCTGGTATGTCGACTTCATGGCTCATATTGTAACATTTCCGGCTATCATGGGGTGCCTTGGCCTTTTTTTTTTCGCCCTGTCGCTCCATATTTTTTTCTGAAATATCTGTGAAACAATAGATTAAATTGGTGTGGCCTGAAATAAATAAATAACCTTCATCAAAGGATAAGAAATTAACTTTTATTTCCACCTGCTTTCTGTACAGGGGCCTTAGCTGATGCCACAGGGAGCTATGATGTCACATATCTACTTGGAGGAGCATGTGTTCTGTTTGGAGGACTGATACCGTTCTTACTGCACCTGCACATGTTCTCTCAACACAAGGACAGTGTCACAGACATAGCAGACAGGGAAGCATCAGAAGATGATGATGAACCTAGACTCTCTGAGAGACCAATGATTATCACTAAAGAAACAACGTTATGAGCTTAGGCCACAACAATTTAATTTGTTGTTTCTCGGATCATTTTTTTCTGATTTGAAAAAAAAATAGGTGGGGGGGGGTTCCCAAATCAACTGCAAAATGCTCAATGAAAGACATATTTTGGCCCCAACGGTTGCAGAAATTCCTTTTCTTTCTAGTTTTTAAAGTTTTTCAATATAACAATGCAATTTTGTTTTATTAAAAGTTCAAAATCTATTGTTTTAATTATTAACCAGCCTGGTATGTTCACTTCATGGCTCATATTGTTACATTTCTGGCTATCATGGGGTGCCTTGGCCTGTTTTTTTTTTGCCCTGTCGCTTCACATTTTTTCTGAAAAAATCTGAGAAACAACAAATTAAATTGGTCTGGCCTTACAGTGTAAGAAATACCCATCTGCAGTCTGCATTTTGCAGAGACATTTTCTCAGAGACATTTTCAATATTGCAGATGAAAAACTAAACAACCTGCAATTTTGCAGACTGAAAAAATCAGGCCAGGGTTCAATGGTGTTGATTTTAATTTTTTATACATGTGTATTGGGTTCAGGTCTATAAGTGTGTATTTGCAATTGCAGAAAGTAAAATTTTCTGAATTGCAGTAAAAATTTTGACATCGTGCAATATTGCAGAAGACTGGAAAAAAGTATTTCTACCACTGGGTACCATCTGTGATAGCACATGTATACTGACTGTGGTACATATCAAATGGGTGTGTAGATATACAAGGTAATTCAACCTAGCACGTCGGCAGAACGTACTGCGCCTGCGCAGAACCCTGTATTTTCACGGTTTTCAATGGATTTTGGTCAACGTTGCATTAGAATTTTGCCCGTTGCAGAGGATATCTTTTCCGACATAACATTTGGAAACTGCAGACGAGATGTTTTCCTTATATGCGCGAATATGACCTTATATGAGATGTTTTGCCGAAGTGCTATGTACAATACATTACGAGTTTTGCGCAGGTGCAGTACGTTCTGCCAACGTGCTATTCAACCTAGGGTTAATGGAAGATCTCATTTTTTTACAGGGAAAACTGTTAATTATTTTAACTGATTTCTTGATTTTATTACGGTGAATGGATGAACAAATAAGAAGAACTTGGCAAGAAGTTTTACAACCTAAATGAGTTGCTTAGTTTGGTTGAATTTTTTAATATAGGAGTTTGTATTTTAATGAGTACCACCCCATGACAATGGGAACTGCGGACAATATTACTTTGAGTGTAATCAAATTAGTACCAACCTGTCTTGGATTAAAAGTATCCATCTTATACGTCTGTCTTCCTGTGTGTATGTGTAACAATGATATCTTTACATAACTAAACCTACGAAAAAAAATTTGGATGCACCGGTACACCCACAGAAAAAAGGTAGTCTAAACCAGACTCCATTGCAGGCAAACTGGACCCTCTATAGCTGGCCAACTCTCCTGGCCAGCTACATTCTTTTTAGGCCGATTTCTACTATTTATTCAACCTGAAATGGAGTCTGGTGATGACTAGAAAAAAAGGGGGTGCACAGATCCAATTTTGCACCCTTATTTCGAGCCTTAAATTGTTAAACGTGACATTGTACAATCTAGAACTATATCAGCTGTCGAAATGTTTCTGGATAGAATATCTGGTCAATTTTTCTACATAAGGCCACAGCAAGTAAATTTTATGGATGACATCCTCCGCAGACTCCAAATCTAATGCGAGCGGGCGGAAAAACAAGGCGGCCCGAAAAAAACAAGGTTCCTACATTTTTTTTAATTTTTACTCAATCATTGTACAAATGGTTTTGATTCAGTGGGAACATATACACATATATACACAGCCAGCATCACATATCACTGCATCAAAGTAAGAAACAAAACATTAAATCAGAGCCTTTTCTTGTCTCTTCATAGTTATCTGCCATCCACCTTCCAGCATGGCAACAGACATCTTTGCCCATTTTCGGAGTGTCAGAAGGCAACAAAATTTCTTGTTTTTTTTTCTTCCAAAATCAGGCGAAAATTAATGCATGCGCTGATGTTATCCACAAAAATTGCTTCCTGTGACCTAAACTTCAAAACAACCGCACATTTCAAGCAAAATGCCGTTGTTTTAGAGGTTGCATCACTGTTCACGTGCACGTGAGGACCACGTGGACGATGTAAATATTTGGATCAGCTGATCGCAGGGGTCAACCTTAGGCCACGCCCCTCTTGCATACATAATTAGCCAAGATGGCAGCTGATCCACTTCTTGCATCATGACAGCGGTCAGACGTCCGTCTTCCGGAGGCGAGATCGCCTGCTTCTCGTCTTGAAGATGACACATTTCCCGTGTCAAGACGTCTAGGAAGGAACCGTCGACAATCTTGACGCAGGACAGCGCAAAGGATGAAGCCTAAAGACGGTGAGTGGAATTTTTCTGGCGAGTTTTTTTCAGGGCCGTTTTCGTTGCCCGGGCCTGCCCGGGACCCGGTAAACCAACCCGTCTGTTTTACTGATAATTTGTCGGGAAAAACCGTCTGCTTTTCCCGTTATCTGTGATCGAACATACACCCACTTTTAGTGATGTCTTAGAGGAATATCTACCTAGTTTGGGAAACGTCAGTGCTCGACGGAAGTTCGAAAATTTTGAATGTTTCCAGGGTGTTTTTTTTCACCCATCTGATTTGTTTTGGGTGTTACCAAAACCGTCGGCTATTGACATTCAAATTTTAATCGCACAAACGTCAGAAGAAAGACAACAAACTGTGAAGCCTGGACGTCACAGACCTGGTTTCATGCCGCCTTGCCTTGAAAACCTACCGGCCATGTCAGGTCAAGCGGCATTTGACGTACGCTGGACGTCTTTTTCTTTTTCTTTTTGCTCATTATAGAAAAAGACGTCCAGCGTACGTCAAATGCCGCTTGACCTGACATCTAATTTCCAGGATATTTTGAGGATGTGGGGGGGGGGGG